AGTTTCTTCCATCATGATTCCCCCCTCCTCGAAAAATTCGTAAAGCCACAACAGTTGCACTCTCAAATTTACCGAGTGGATTATTTTGCTTTCTAATGAAACTGAGAGAGTTAAGCATACAAAAAGTGAAAAATATTCACAGTCAACCAGTCCAACTATGGATGACAATAAAGACCCAACACTAGCAAGTTTTCAAATAACGCCCTTCACGAATCAAGCATGGGTAAATTAAAGGCTTGAGCTGTACACCAACGTTGAGATAGTACATAACGGAAAGTTTAAGAGAAATTCACTGAATGTTGAAAAAATTAAACGTGTAGGCAGACTTGAAGTAATTCGACCCAGTTTACACTCAACCAAACAAAACCAAGGCTCACAGACTTTGCAAAGTTTCATTCGAAAAGTTTGCCTACTCACAGGTATCTAGACTGGACAAATTCCTTGCGAACTGTTTCATAACTCATTCGTGCTCTGAGAACGAAAGTGCAGTGCGTACTCTGCCAGTAACTTGGATCCTTTAGTTCCGAAAACCTCAGAAGAATCTACAAACAACTAAAACTCAGTTACAAACTTTGCCCTTTCAGCAGAGAGCGGAGAAGAGGGAAGTTCTAAGGTTGCTGAAATGTTGAGCCGGCTAGACCCTACAAAAGCCACAAAAATCGAAATCATTCAAGAAGTAGGTCAACAGAACTTTGATAGTTCAGTCCGGGACTGCTGGTAAACACATCAACTCCATAAAACTTGCACAAGATATGTTTTCCGTGTTGGTTTACTTTCACCATACAGAATTCCGTATAACGTAAATTTGCCCGCTGATTATGAAATATTCTTAAGGACATTTGCGCCTTGGATGTCAAGCACAGCCTAAAGCGCTTCTGATTTATCTGGAAATCAAAACAGCCTCAGGCTCTTGTATTCCCTTACGTTCTCAGCAGACATGACAGGAAATGTGAGAACAAGTGCCAAAAAGGCTTTTCTGTGTGGCATAAAATGGAGAATTAATAGCCTGCACAATGTAAGCAATCACTTTACACAGAGCACTAAAGAGCTGCCTAAAGCACAACCGAAGGATCTCCTACCACAGCTATTACATATTGCTTTAAGGCTCGGTATGGGGCTTGGTGAATACGTGTTTATGCCCGCCAACACCGGTCGGGTTGAACAAGGTCCTTGTGGGTACTTCCAAGGTATTCACAATCCCTAATAAAGCCAATCCTAAACAACCATGATTACGAGAATATAAATGCTCAAATGGTGAAAACATTTCGTTTTTCGGTTCATAGGCCAGGGCTTCGCTTTCAGAATCGTTCTGTTCAGATCAGTGATAAAAACGATTTGGACAAGAGTAAGCATTACAGGACAAGACGTTTTTGGTGGTTCCTGTTCAACAAACAACCCAAGTAGTTCCATTGATCAATTTCGGCTTTAAACTACTAGCTCTGAAGCCTTTGACCTGCTTATCCATCGATTCATTTGAATCCGCCCGGACCCAGGAGCATTCAGTCACATGTCAATTGCAATTGTTTTTCGCTCAAGCGGGAAACACTTGCCTCTGATGCAAAAGTTGGATTGATGCTCCAAACTATGCACGACAGAGCTAACCGCGGAAAATGTTCAGTTCATTTTTTTGCGACAATTTCAGACGTTTGTTACTGATGCAATTACACGAAAATTTCATTTTACCAAGTCATCAGGTTGTCGCAACGACTAAAAACGGTTACAACCGAGTACTCTAGTAAAACACCTAGTGGTTGTGTAGACGTCGCCGGTCGAAGAAGTAGTTGGCCGAAATTGCATTCAACAAGTGAGACGCATGTTTTCCGATGGCAATGCGGAGATATTAAACATGCAGTGGTAGAACCCTAGCAAAATGAGAATGTTGACTGAATAGTTGGAAAACATATTCCCGCTTCAATTCGAATGATAATGTCAAGAAACTGAATGCAAAGTCTGTCCGTGGAAGTGAGCATTGTGGAAGCTATTTCTCTGCTACTTGGAACTGATCAGCATTTTCTAAGATCCGTAATTCCTTGACTGATTTTTAGGTCAGGTTTGATAA